AATGAATCAAGACATCACAGAATGGACTCGTTCATGTATTAGATGTCAACGGTGTAAAGTATCCCGTCACACTCACAGCCCTATTCAACAATTTAACCTTCCAGCAAGACGCTTTGATCATGTGCACTTCGACTTGGTTGGCCCATTGCCTCCTTCAAATGGTTACACTTACCTCCTCACTTGTATTGATCGGTACACAAGATGGCCTGAAGCCATTCCTATTGAAAATATATCCGCTGAAACTGTAGCTCGAGCATTCATCTCCCAGTGGATTTCAAGATTTGGCTTGCCTAACACCATCACTATTGACCAAGGCCGACAATTTCAATGTCACTTGTTCGCATCCCTCACCTCTCTTCTTGGCATTCGCCATATTCGCACAATACCATACCATCCATCTGGAAATGGGATGGTGGATGGTGGGAACGCTTTCACCGATCTCTCAAACAAGGTCTGAAGTGCCACAGTAGCACACACACTGGACAGAAGCCTTACCCCTAGTCTTGCTTGGTCTTCGCACAGCATTCAAAGAAGACATTGGTAGCACTTGTGCTGAAATGTTATATGGTGCAACCCTCCGTCTGCCAGGTGAATTCTTTCACCCAGAATCTACTCCAGTTATCGACCCTCCAACATTCCTTCAACGTTTACGTGAGACCATGAGCAATATCTCGCCAACCCCAGCATTTTCGCATAACCAGCCAAGCTATTTTGTACATCCTGCGCTTGAGACATCTTCGCACGTATTCGTGCGCAGCGAACTTTAACACCTTCATATAATGGTCCATTCAAAGTTGTCAAACGAACACCGAAACATTTCATCATCATCTGCAATGGCAAACAATCAGTGATTGGAATCGATCGTCTCAAACCAGCATTTCTCATGCAAGATCCAACAACTTCCTCATCAACATCACTCCCGGAAGGAAAGCTTACATCCCGTTAAAGAAGCAACCTAAAACTACCAGATCTGGAAGAAAGGTTAAATTTAACCCAAAGTACTTATAACGTACCGATGGTACTTGGGGGGGAGTACTGTGGCGTTCCGACAGATACTTCAACTTCTATTCATGAGATGGCGCCACGTGTAAAATCCAGTTCTTAATCAGAGCAGCAAAGCGACGTCATTACTCACTCAGACTTCTCATCAGACAACTGTACGTGACGGTAGCATGAACTGTGTTCCGAGCTCTGCGTTGATCTCTGCAATGTAATTTAAATTGTAATTTAGTACTTAATATATTCTTTTGTTATAGGAGATTGGTTACTCTTATTTTCTTTAAGTATATCATGCATTAAGCACACGACCACCAAAAGACTTCTCGAATACGCAAACCAGAGAAAACGCAAACCAGAAAACCGCAAAATCTCGAGAAAACGCAATCCAGTGTTTGCAAAATATGGGAGAAGTACAAGCAAAACAACGACAAAAGGAAAAACAAACTTAGCAACATTTTTTTTAGAAAGTTCAAATAAAATTGGAAAACCTTAAAATCCTGAATATGTTAAAAAGAACTGAAAAAAAAAGTATTGTGAATGTGAAAAGTTTCTAGAAACTCAGTTTCAACAAAGTTTGAAGTTTTATTGATAATTTTCGCAGAGCCAAAGACAAAACAATGATTGAGTTCCCAACTGTGACTTAAAATTAACTATTTGTCTATTTATCCTTTCATATATAACATCTGTGATGAGCTTTTATCACACTTTTGCACTGGCCTATATAGCTCAAGCCACTCTGACAATATATGTTATAAATGCCTCAAAAATTTAAGTAACCTCGGGAAGATTTAAAAGTCGAAGAAAGAATTTTACTGATAGGTAAGAAAATTGAAAGAGACTGAACTTCTAAAGAATGTGAGTATCTTTATAATTGATAGAAGGATAAAAAGGAATGAAGACAAGTTTCTAAATTTAAGTTATTTCTAGCAGTCAAATGCACAGCTGGCCATTAAAATTGCAATATCAGGAAGGAATGATCTGACGCAAGTCAAGATCATATGAAAGGAAGAAGTTGGGATATGCAAATGATTAGTATTTCAGCGCATTTAGACGACGCAGCAAGGAGAAACGACATCTGAAGCACTGCATAAAAGAAAAGATGTGCAATGGATTTCTCATTCGGAATGGGCTTTGTAAGGTTGGCGTTTGCTCCGAATATCGAGTTATGCCTCGAATAAAAAGAGGAAATGCTTACCAGCAAGTTTCGGAATTCGATAGAGGCAGGATCGTTGCCTGTTGAAAGTGTAGGTTATCGTTCCGTGATATCGCCCGTTGCACTGGTGGACGCCCAACTACTGTCTTGCGAATATAGAAACTATAGAGAGTCATACTGAATGGCATACAGGATCAACGCCCTTCCATGACTAACGCCAAAGAGGTCAAACATATAGTGAGGTCAGCCCTGTAAAACCCTGTAAAACGACCACATCACGGACCATTAGTCCGGAAATGGGCATGCTCGCAGCACGCCCAGTATCAGCAAGTAAGGCTGCATTGACGTTTGCATCATTGTGGACTATCAGCATGGTAACCATTACTTCGGCTTCCCTTAACAATGCAGTATAGAGAGAGACGGCGATTCTGATGCTCCAAACGAGAAAGCTGGGTACAGGAGTGGCACAATGTCGCCTTTTCAAACGAGTCCCATTTGTATATGCAGTATTCTGATGGCTGTACAGTGTCTGGAGTGTCCTAGGAGACCGCACGTCGCCTGCATGCATCCGATTTCGGCATAGGGGCCCTGCACCTGGGCAATGGTTTGAGCATCCACTGGGTACACGTCACGTACATGTCTAGTTCGGATCGACGATAATTTGAGCGCAGATGGGTACAATTCTGGCATCTTACGGACGTAAGAAACGGCACAAACACTGTCTAGTGTTTGTGCCGTTTCTTCGAGGACTCATACGCCATGTTCCAGCAATAATTCTGAAGGATAAATAATAAACTGTAATACGTTTAAAAAATAAAAAATAATAAAATTTTAAATCTGCAAAATCATTAAAAAAACTTGTTAATAATTTCATGATGGCAAATATCTTCCTCTAAGCTCCAATGCATGAATCAATTATTGAATCGTGTTCTGATCTAATCGGTTCATTTACAAAACAAGATGACACCTCATTGGCTGTCACTAAACTCTCATACTCACTGCCTATATTCAAATGAAGGAATGCTACTTAAAATGAGCTTAAGAAACTTGCAGTTATTTTCTTCTGGTTATTTGGCTATAACTTTCGATAAAATGCATATAACTGAAAACATATTGATGCTCTATGATGATCCAATTAGATTCTCACTGTTACATAAGTTTTATGGCCTTATTTCAAATAAAGTTGTGTTCTGAGCCATCAATTCTCAAAAATAAGCATTTTCGAAAATGCTTCAACAACTGTGGCTCCTAATGTGCGTTACAAATGAAGAAAATACGAAAACATTCTTTCAGGTAGCCCGTTTATAGGGATTCAGTACAACTCTCACTGCTTCAGGGGTATCATATCATTGGCAATGCATTTCTATGCACAAAAGTCAGGAGATTTCTCACAAGAACAGTAAATACTTAACAAATGTATCGATTTTATTTCAGTTATGAATAAATAATTTTCGCTTTTAAAGTACCAATCTTCGCATTATTATTAGACCAACAGGACATTAACCCAAATGGGCCATTATTTTTTAAATGGATATTGTGTCGTCAGCTGTAAACGGATGTATCAATTTTCAAATTGTTGCCACCAAATATTATTGTCCTGTATTACTTTTAAAGAAATTAAATTATAAAGAATCTGCCTGTTTGTATGTATGTTCCTCGCATTGTAAAAAGTGGACGGTACTAGAGTCATCAAATTTTGAATAACTTAGTCATCCACTTGGACATGTGCACCTGGAAGCCCAAATTTTTAACTTTTATGTTTTCTCTTTTGTAAAACTTTAAAATAAATTTTTTATTAATAAATTCAACGATTTGATAGGGATCGGTGGCAACACTATACGGAATAAAGCATTTTTTTAAATCTAACTCGAGAGTGTGTATCGGAAATCCGAAAGATATGCTATTTTTAAATATTTAATGATTGGTGTTGAATTTAATTTTATGTGGCGTAAGGGTGTAGAACGTGATATTTAATAAATAAATTTAACACACAAAACGTTATTAATAAAAAGACAAAAAAAAAAAAAAAAAAAAAAAAAAAATTTGTAAGCCATCTTAGTAAGAAAATCGAACTGTGATGTAATGAACTGAGAAAAAGACTAAAAAAAAAATATGCTAATTTCTAAACACAAACAATGATTTATTTTTAATTTTACTTACATCCATTTTTCTTACAATTTCTTCTTCTAGAAGAAGAATACTACTCTTAATAAAATAAAAGAATAAATAATTAAATAATATACTCATAACCCTATCTTTTCAATTTGACATATAATTAATCAACCAATATGATGAATAGAAGAATAAGCAATTAATCGCCTAATTCTTTTTTGAGAAAAAGATCCTACTACTCCATAAAACCTGTAAAAATAAAAAAATATAACCCTAATATTCATGATATAAACAATGATTTTCTTATATTTCCCCATTTTTCACTTAAAATAGACTGATGGGCCCAAGTTACTCTAATTCCAGAAGACAATAACACAATTGTATTTAATAAAGGTACTTGAAATGGATTAAAAGGTGTAATTCCTTGAGAAGGTCAAGGAGCACCTAATTCTGCAGTTGGACTTAATCTTGAATGAAAAAATGCTCAAAGAAATCTTTAAAAAAAATACTTTTCTTACAATAAATAATAATATTCCTAATATATAACACTATATCGGTAGTTCTAAACTTATGTTGCTGTGTACTGCTTTAAATTGTTAAAATTCGAGAACTCTTTCAGATTTTTTGCTTTTTCACAATTTTAAAGCTTATAGATGAAATCATTAATTATTGATTGATAGTTATTATTAATATATGGTTAAAAATTTATTATATGTCTTTTTCTCCCTCCTTTTAGTACCTCCAGCTATAATAGACAGTGGCACCAGCTCCGATACTGTTGTTGAGGAAAGGTCCAAAGTCAGCTTACGATGCGAGGCTTCCGGTTATCCTATGCCAAACATCACATGGCGCAGAGAAGATGGAAAACAAATAAATACGGGTTCCTTTGGTGGTCATAAGTTTCATTGTAAGCAATATTTATATGCTATTAAAGTTCGTATTTAGAACAGCTCTTTCTGAATTCTGCTTTAATTGAGACCTTTGATTTTGTTTCGCATGTTTCATAGAATATTGATGAATGAAAGGAAAATTTTTGTTTCTTGTAATTCTGTATAGATTTGGTTTAGATAGATATTCAGAAATCAAGTGTATTCAGATATCATTTGTATGAAGGTGACATTATAGTATCAGTTTTATGAATATTTATTTTTCGTTAATTTTTAATACCTTTACTTAAATTTATTGTAAAACCTAATTTATATATGACCACTGACATGCTTTTGTGGAAATCTGTTTTCAAATCAGTGTTTAATGCATGTAAAAGGTTACATAGAAATAACCTTTATAAGGTGCTTAAAATGTATTTCCTTCTTACGAAGAATCCGGTACTAATTCGGCTCATGTGTACGTAAGAAGGGAACGAATATAATTTAAATGATGTTTGATGTGCTTGCTATCTTGCTTCTCGGAAAAGCATATAACTAATTCAATCATGATCTGCGCATGACTGAATATATATTTAGTTCGTACGGAAATGAATGGCACAAATGCTGCCACAGAGCGAAATAAAATTTATTAACAAAAAACTGATAGCACATCGGTTAGAAATAATTCTCGCCCCTGTCAATACACTTCTGTTATCTGGCTGGGAGGTCCCGAAGGGCTAAAGTTAACCACCTATGAACAATTACATGCAAATCGGCAGAAAATTCAACGTGTTGGCCTCTGACTCCGTCCTTCATCTTGTTAGGCAAGGCGTAGTCCGAGGTTCACCCACTTTGCACACACACATTTATCGTATCCAAATCACATTCACAATCGCCTGCAATGTTCCTGGTGCAAGCCCTGTCACTTCTTTCGTCTTGGTGAACGTTATGCCCCTGTTCGCCATGATAAAATCCGACACGGTAACCACATTTGCTGTTATATACCATGTTGCGGGTCGTCCCGCGCTGACACTTTTGGCTGTAGTCTCCACTCCACTGCTGAACTTGCCATCCAGCGGGATACGGTATGCCCTGAGAGTGCTTTGTTCCCGCCCACCGATATCATGCGACAATCGATCTCACTACCTTGTATCCCTTCCTTCCATAAGGACCACGCTGTCAAACGCTGACCGTGATAATCACCTTCCACCATTGCTGTCCACGCTCTCAATGACGACGGCGGAAAGGACGAGCCTGACGTATAAAGTTCACTTACTACCTCCATCTATGCATTGAGTAGCTCACGCCTCCCTTGTGTCTATTTCACCTGTTTTCCCTTCGCATAGTGAATAGTTTCGTTGTGAGAGCCGTTGTGTCAATCATTTCTTCACGATCCAAGTACTTCTAATAAAACACAAATCTATTTTACGTACATGCTCGAAATTAAATCAAATACCAAAATATGAATATGTAAGAGAATATTGAAATGATTCGTATATTTTCTTAATTCTTGCATCTTACTTGTGCATACTTACATCCGACTTCCTGCGTACTTGTGGAAATAAAGCTTCGAAATTCTTTGAAGCTCTTTACTTGAAATTCTACCACAAAATTTGAGTACTGTAAAACACATAAAAATTTTCATCCACAAAATTTCTGAAACTTTCTGTTGTTCTGTGTTGGTTGAATATCGATAATATAATGTAATAATTGTAGGAATAGTATAACATAAGAATTAGCATTGGTAATTCCTTGGTTAAATATAGATTGAGGATTCATTTGTAAATACAGATTTACGACATAGATCTGAAAGATTCCATTTTACTTAAATAAACTTTAGGAAAGAATGTTATCATAATATAGTGAAATGATTGATTGGAAATTATTTTTCCAAGAAATTAATGCGCTAAATATCATTTTCCAAGAAATAAATGCACTAAATAAATCATAAGGAATGTTTGCATTATTTTATACAGCAAATGTTGGCTGAACTGATGATTATAACACTGCTTAAGCTTTAGTTCTAAATCTGAAATGTCACCAGTATTTCTGTTTTCGCTTCTTGACATTATACATACAGCTGAAGTGGCGGAAAACGGAGACACCGTCATTCGACAAAGAAAATAGTTGATATTGTCTCGCTTCCCCGCATGGCTAACTCTGGGAAAGGCATCATATGTCATTGGAAGATATTTTTTGCCAGTGTGGCTCAGGACTACGTATTTTGCATAATTATTATATTACTTCAGATACTCAAATTACTTTCCAGTTAACGTACTCTTACAATAGCATACATTGTAAATAAAACACTTTACAGACTAACACAAACTAACATAAATTTACAAACAACACATAAATAACTAATAAAACACAAACTTTACAGAAATTTACAAAGGCATATTGCGGGGCATCCAAATACAGTAATATTACAGAAGTTTAAACTTCTACAAACAAACTAAATGAATATTAAATTCTTACTCTAGGCACTGTTCTTATTCACATCCCTCCCTCTCAAAAAAGAATGGTAATATTAAAAAAATTAATATAATTATATATATAACAAGGCATTTACCGGTCCGAGTTTTGCAATTTTGGCGATAATCTAGGCTATCCTTGCCACCAGATGACGTGTTTTACTGTAAACTTGCAGAATGCTTGGGTATTGTTACTGGCGATTTTAAATTTGTGTTCTCTTGTGAGTGGTCAGACGGTAACATGATGATCTGGGGTACCAGTTTCTCGACAGACAGACAGTTCGGTGTTGCGGACGTTGTTCCTATTAAAATATTCGAAAAAGGGACCATGACCTGTAATAAATCTTGTTAACTGCCGGAAAATTATGTTTGTCGACTGTTTGTGTGATGCAGTCATAAGTGTGGCAGCTTTGGCCACATTCATCCTACTCTGTTTGAAATTTTTTATGCCTTGCATTTCATTTGTTTCTTCAACTATGAGCATGGCCAAAGTGCTGGTTTTGGATAATAAATATGCCATGATGCTGCCTCCTTGGCTTGGGAAAAAATGCAATTATCAGTAGGATAATTGTTGTTATACGGCAAATCATTCTTAGATACTGGCAAATAAACAATTAAATGATCCTATAAAAATCGCTTGTTAAGAAACACTAAGTTGACAGAGGGATTTTTAGAATTTAAGGTAATTATGGAATACGCCAAGAGGCTCACTCATTTATCAATCAAATATGACCACAGACGCTTTTCTGAAGCAAACGCGACCTGATCGTTACCCTGAAAATCTGGCATTACTCCTTGCTATGTTGTTTCATTTGTGAGCTGTACATCATGGTCCCTTTGGATCACGGCAGTTTATTGTACATAGTTATTTTTCTTTTCTTGGATAACAGCATGTTTTCTAACAACAAAATTTCTTGACATATTTGCAAGAACGGCCTCGTCATAGAATAAAAGTTTACTTTTTTAAAAGGAAAAAGAGATAATGAAAACATTAATGAGTTTACTAAAAACGTCTAAAAGTTTAAACAATTTACTTTATGAAATGAACCATTAAAATATGCAACTGCCTCTATTGCCTTCGAAGCGCCCCCCTTGTGTACATGGATTATACAGCTATACATGGATTAATTTGTCATTTCCGTTTCTTAAATCATACCTTTCCTATACTATAGTTTATATGATTCACACTTGGTTCGGAGCGAGTTATATCATAAATTTTTTTATTCTTCAGCCCAGCTCTTACTTTCAGGAACGGACAGATATCACAGTAAAGTAAGTTAAGATGCAGGGTAATGTTACTTAAATAACTGCCTTTGTGGCTCAGAAAATCTCTCACGGACAGAGGGCTGTGACTGACTAAGTGAGTATAAGATACAAACTTCTCCAAAATCATGCCCAATTACTCAAGTAAAATCGCGTAAGCTGTTTCGGAAAAAAAAAAAAAAAAAAAAAAAAAAAAAGTTATAATTACTTACACATCAGTAACACATTTAAAAGTGTGCCCAAAGATATTGTACCCTGCAGTCTGGTGATATTAAAGTCTGCCACTGATGTTTTTATTTTTGTTTCTAAAATCGTCCGTCACATTATCTTGCCTAATGTGAGTCTCTCATTCAATTCAGTTTTTAAAATTTTTATTTTCTTTATCTGTTGCTTTCAGAAGCTGTAATGTTTCATTCAAAATTTAATTTTTATATAATACTTTAAATCTGGATAGTCTACTTTTATGATAAAATACATGCAATTCCCAAAACTCGCTGTTTAGAAACATGAATAATTACGTGATTTCGATACAATTATATCCTCGATGTAGCTAAACATCTGTTTCGGTAATTATGTGGTCATAATGTGTAAACAGATATATCATAATACTTATTATTCCAAGAAGAGGCCATGGGAAAATTGGTATCATACCAAATATAGTTCCTGAAAGAAAAGAAAAAGTTAGTGTTAAGTTAAACAACATGATCATTTGAAACAATAATGTCCTCCTCCTCCCCGCTTTGTCGCGACGCAATAGAACGTCGCAAAATGTTTTTTTTATAAATAAAACGGTTACCCTATTTAAATAAGTCTACACAAAAATCATCATCTACTGTTAAAAGTATGTTGCCAATTCATTTTATTTTCAGATGAAATGCCTCAAAATGTGAACATTTGCAGTAACGTTTTGCTGCTGTTTGCACTTGATTCCGAAATTAGAAAGAAGAAACGTTTTCTTAATGGAAATATACTTATTAGTGGACAAATGGTTAGGACATTAAGTACTGGTACTAGCCGCCCAAATAGGATAGTGGTTAGTGAATCTGACTGCCATTCCAAAGGGCCAGGGTTCGAATCTCAGAGAAGGCGTGGATGTTTATTAATGTATAATATCTGAGCGACATGAAGAATAACACAGTATGCGGTGAACCGAAAGTCCTCTGGGGAGGTAGATGGTGGAAAAAGAGGTGGGGTGACATTTTCAACCTGTTCACCGAAGGTGTTCTTCAAAATTGGAGACTGAACTGAGCAAAGTCATGCTGTGAAATGTATGGTGCCCAAGGTTCTTGGCAACGACAGGCGCA